AAGACCTGGACCACAACAAAGATTCAAAAAATACACAACATAAATATTAAGTTGTATGTTTTCACATTCATGCATACAGTGTAAAAGTTCAAATTAATGCAGTATGAGTGCAGCTGTAATAGCACCATAAATGTTCAGTTTTACTTATGGATGGGTTTGTGATGGCAGGCCCTCCTTGTGCCATATGTTTGGTGATTTTTAAGGGGTAGACAATCAGAAATACAATACAGCAACAGTGTAGTAAATATCCCTTGGATTAAGCCCAAATTTGATTCTTGGTAAAAGCCTCTTTGCAACTGAGTCAAATTAATCTTAAAGGGTAAGTCCACTATTCTCATAGGACTTGCGTAGAACTCTACATTGAACCATTAAGTTTATAGTTTTGACAGTCACTTGTACTGGTTTTTCCATAATTTCAAAATGATTATGGCCTGAAAATAAGGCCCAAGGTGTATTAAACATAACCTTTATTGTTTATGTTTTAAGGGTAAAAATCTGTCAGGAAAAAACAAACAGTATTTCGGTGTAATAACCAGAGTCAAAGATGGCGGGCCAGGCAGCGATCTTGACTATGGTGTCATTTCTAAATGATAAAAATTCTTCCCTGCATCAGATAAAATCTCACCTTCTTCCTGTGAGGCTCTGCTCCTGCATCATGATGCACTGAAGTAACATGAGTCTGAGACAGAGAGAAGTATGAAGTGAGACTGCTGCCACAATCTGAAACACTAAAACTAGGACTTGAAAGGTTGAAAATAAAATGTGCAAAATATGGCTTTAAAACTAAATGCAAGGGTTCAAACATTTGAAAATAATATTGCTTCATTCTTTTCAATATTCCACATCAGTGTCTTAAAAGCTTTGAAGCTTGTGCAAACATTCAACATACCTCTGTCACCTCTTGAACTTAGTTTTTACAGCGAGTTTCAGGACTGTCTTTTCAGACTTTCAAATCTGCTCATTCTGACCCTGTGTAACCGGGAGAAATGATCCAAAACTGAAATAAAAGCAGCACTGTAAAGTGCTTTGGGTATGAGTTTTCTTTAAACTCATGTCCATTATATCGCCCTGGTGTCAGCGAGTTGCTTCCTGTTCCGGCCCCATTTAAATCTGAGAGGTTATCTTGTTTATATTAAAAAAGCCTGGAAACAAACTGCTCCTGAGCTGATTTGACATTTCAAACATGTTTCCATGACAAGTCCTGCAAGACTTTTGAAGAACCAAGAAATCCTGCATCATGTGAAATTTGTCAACAGTCATCTAGCTAACCTGTTAATCCACGTATGAAGAACAACTCCCCCAGGCCTCATCCCAAGAACAGCTACGCTACTTAAGATGATTTTACTGTTAAATATGGGAAATATAACTAAAAGCTTTCCAGGCTGATGATTAGAAAAGCACAGATTATTATTTACAGTTGAATCTTGGCCAATACACTGACTCTGTTGGAGGAAGTAACTAATGAAGTCAAGTTGCTGTGCCATCTATGCATAAAATTACACACAGCTCCTCTCTCAAATCAGAGACTGTAGATGAAATGTGTCATTTCTGCTGCTTTGTGGTGACAATCCAACATTCTATGAATTGTCACTCATCAAAGAGAACATCAGTGTTGATGTATCTACAAAACTACGGGTCACTAAATTACACTCATTTGAATTTTATTGGTAAGAAGCCACATTAAACATTTACATAAACAAATCAATCCACAGTAAATTAAACAGTGTAGCAAACTGAAAGACGAAAACTTTACAAAAAAGGTGGTAAACGATTTTGGTGCAATCTGTGTGCGCCAACTAAAGCCACCAAAATTGCCTTGCCACTGCAATAAGAATTAGTCTGAGCCCGTTTGTAACACAGATGCAGTTTCATGCCAAAATGACCACTAAAATGTCACCGTGCCAGCTAATCCATACAGTTCACCGGTACCACTCGTCCTACCTCAGTAAAACACATTGGCTGGTCTGGCAGGAAACTGCCAACAGGGGAAAAAATAGACTTACACCCAAGGAAAATGGAATAAAACCTGCATTTGCCCAATTGTTGGCTTTGTGCCTGCAAAAAACAGTTTGTAAGCCATGTGTAAAGACTAATGTCATTATCACTAGGAACCAATGGTTAGGGTAAGGAAGCTGGAAAGTGGTATTTTGTATATTTTCATTTTAATTTTTACACCCCTACCAGATACTATTTGAATACCAGAGTGAGGATTTTCCTAAAGACAAGCTATATTTATTCCCAGCACTTTCACAAACGCACACACCTGTGCTAGGGAAGTGTTCCGGCCTCTTTTTGCTTCAGTGGAATGCCCACCCCTTCCTCCTTGGCTGGAGGAACACTTGTAGCAGCTCCAATGCTGTTGCAGCTTTGAAGTAAAGCCCCTCCCACAGTCTTTCTGCTGCAGGCACTGGAAGTGGTACAGGTGGCCACAGCTGACAAGAAACATGCACACACAAGTTAGCATCTGTAAATATATTGTGCATGTATTTGACGTGGATAAATTGGGCTGGAATCTGCCAGGGGCACATCTGGGTTGTCCATAGGCAGGGTAGGATAATGATAAAAACTGTCCTAAAACCTTTGAGGAAAATATCAGTAACATCGATTAAAGAAAGCCAAGCACCAAAATGGAACAGTCACAAACATCAATGAACAATGGTTAACAGGAAATTGGCAAATGGTAATCTGAAACTCTGCTGATTCATATGTCAAAAGATTTGACACATCTTTAAAAGTTACTGAGCTATGTCCTTAAGAAAACCACCATTACTGTTTTTCTTGAATAACGAACACTACAAGGGGCGGCTATGGATCAGAGGGAGAGCAGGTCTTCCCCGGCTTCTCCATTTGACAGATCAAAGTGTCCTTGGACAAGACACTGAACTCCAAGTTTCCCCCAGTTTTATCACTGGTGTATGAGTGTGTCAGCATTTGTAAATGTGAGTGTGTGAGTGTGTGAATGGGCTAATATTGTAAAAGCACTTTGAGTGTGCTTCCTTGCATAGTAAAGTGTTAACTACGACCTTTTACCTTCAAATTACTAAAGCTATCAGTCAGATAACATTTATTGTCAAACATGGAACAGTTTAAAGTGAATATTAACAGTAGTTCAACAAATGTTTTTATGTGCCTCTAGAAAATATTTTAATGTTGTCATTACAGATTCTATGTGGGATCCGCGTATGCAGACTTATTCTCAAAGACAGTGGGTCTTCTTGGTGGGTTTAATGAGATGTATCTTAAGGATCATGAATTTTGGAGGCCCACTGAGCCTTTTTATCTCCAGTGTAAACTAAATATTCAAGTTCAGGTGCAGTTTTCAACCAATGGCAGCACTTTACAGTCATGTTAATTGGCAACATTGCTGAAAGAAAGAAAAGTGACTGTAAGTGGCGCACTGCTATTTTGAAGATGGAGGAGACTGCCTGAGCCTAGGTACAAGCCATCTGGCACTTATCTGTTGGCCAGGGGTTAAACACCTCCGGTGTGTGTTACCTGAACACAATGATCTCCTCAGCTGAATTCTGCCTCCTCTTGTACTGCTGCAGGCAGATGTTACAGTAGTCTTGTCGTGGGTGGAGTCCCCTTGTGACAGCAGCATGCAGGTGAGCCAGGGACCAGTGGAGATCATGGTTCAACAAAGCGGTGGTTGTTTCAAGTAAAGTCTAAAACAGAAAAAGACATTAAATACCAATCTGCATTTTTTATCATGCCAGCTGCATATACAGTATATGCAATGAAAGAGTTTTAAATATAAATTAGCAACTATAATGATCAACATTAAATATGTCTCAACCAGTGACGTGCAGTGAGGTTGACAGCTGGTGAGGCACTGACTCCGCCCCCCCGCACGTCACTGGTCTCAACAAATGTTAATAGCGTCCATGTCAGAATGGTGGATGGATAGTTAATAATTAATAACTGATTAATTATTGAATCTTATTTAAATAAGATTATTTAATATTAAATTGTTCAAATGTTTTAATATTAACAATAAGAAATGTACATGAACCTGTGTATGATACTCTGGTTTCAGAGGAGGAGATCCCTCTCCCCACACAGAGTCATCATACAGTGTTATCAGCAGACTTCCTGTAGCATTCTTTGTTACAGCAGAGCTAAAGAAGTCATTCACTCAGACTGCTCTGCTGTTTGTCATGGAGTGGAAGTGAGGTCTTCTCAGCAATCTTCAATAGTTTCTGAAGCATCCTCCAAAAAGCTTTCCAGGAGCTGGTTAACTAGTTTTTTGAGCAGCGGACTTCGATGCAGATTAATCTAGCTAGTTGTCAGCAAAAAGCTCTGGCTTTAGTTGTATTGATGGGCGGAGGAGACAAGCTGCAGCAAATAAGAAGAGGGTGTGGGTTTGCCAAAATGTATGATTTATCAGACAATGTGTAAAATCTTAGTTAATGCACCTTTAAGCTTTTTGCTGCTAAGACAACTTCATTTATTGATGGCCATGAAATGTGGCTAAAAACTCTGGAAAATGTATAGGAAGTGGATTTTGTCATAAGAGGTTTTGTCCAAGGTTAATAATGGTTATTTAAGTTTGTTGTTTATTAGTCCGTGTATTAGATATGACAATAATAATCACCTTTATTGGCCAAGCATGTTACACACAAGGAATTTGTTTTTGGTACAGAAACAATGGCAGCCATCTGTGGCGCCACCTCAACCAATGGCTCTAACCATCAGGGGCAACGGGAGGGTTCAGTGTCTTGGCCAAGGACAGGTCAACATGTGGACTGCTGGCACCAAGATTCGATCATTCAACCTTTTGGTTGGGAGACGACTGCTCTACCCACTGAACCACTGTTGCCTCCCCAATAGTGCACAAACATACACATGTATACAGAGTGTTTTACCTGTTCATAGTTAAACGTGTCCAGCATACCCAAAATGAGGCCTTGGATCTCTGCCAGCTTTCCTTTGCCATAAACTGGGTCCTGACAGACATGAACATGCAGACAGCATCACACCATGGGTACACAATATACAGTATAAACAGAAATTCCACTCATTTATGAAATCACACATTACAGACCTTTAGGCCAACATTGTCCACACTACCACACATTCATTACTAGAAAATACCAAAATACACAAACATACTATATATACATATACCTATTGTTATTTTTATAATACGGAAACAGCAAATTACAGTCTCAGACACTCAGAATTGCACTCGGGTCACTCTGCATCTCACTGTGCATCTCTTGTGAATTTGCTTCCATCTTTCTACTGTCAAGAAGAGCACGTGTCGACCATTCAGTGAAAAACTTGGAGAAAAAAAAAGGAGTGAAAACTGTGGTCGTGAGGACGGGTTAGAGGTCATTTTTTTTTAGACAAATTCAAAAGCTTCCCCACTCTACGTGTGATATCACCACTATAGCTGCTGAATGTTTCTCTTCATAGAGACCAATGTACAGTAGTTCTCATTTTGAACCATTTTAACAAAGGTTCCAACTAAGTTTGATCTTCTGAGAAGTACAAGTGAATTTAAAAATGTAATATATGGTAGATCAACCTCGTCATCAGTGAGCCTTGAACGCCCATGATGCTGCTGGTTCACTGTCCTTCCTTGGTAGGTACTAACCACTGCAGACCTGCAGTGTGGGAGATGCTGTGACCCAGTTGTCCAGCCACCACAGTTTGGCCCTTGTCAAAGTCACTTCTTATGCTGCCCTTTTTTCCTCCTTCCAACACCTCAACATCGAGGACTGAATGTTCACTTGCTACCCCACACACTGACAGCTGCCAGTGTAACGAGATAATCAATATGATTCACTTCACATTTCAGTGGTCATAATGATATGGCTGATCAGTATATATTTATACAATATTTGTGTAGCGTATAAAATTATTGCAACCTTGAACTGTTTTGTGTGAAGTATTAGGTGACTTGTTTTTCCAACAACATATAGAGTGGGTACGGAAAGTAGTCAGACCCCCTTAAATTTTTCACTCTTTGTTATATTGCAGCCATGTGCTAAAATCATTTAAGTTCATTTTTTTCCTCATTAATGTACACACAGCACCACATATTGACAGAAAAACACAGAATGTTTGACATTTTTGCAGATTTATTAAAAAAGAAAAACTGAAATATCACATGGTCATAAGTATTCAGACCCTTTGCTCAGTATTTAGTAGAAGCACCCTTTTGAGCTAATACAGCCATGAGTCTTTTTGGGAATGATGCAACAAGTTCACACCTGCATTTGGGGATCCTCTGCCATTCCTCCTTGCAGATCCTCTCCAGTTCTGTAAGGTTGGATGGTAAACGTTGGTGGACAGCCATTTTCAGGTCTCTCCAGAGATGCTCAATGGGGTTTAAGTCAGG